CGGCGGCGGCGGGTCGGGGCCTCAGCTGCCTTGCCGCCGAAGGCGGGCACCGCGGATGCCCCCGGCGCAGCTGCGGGCCCAGGCGGCAGCCCTGCTCCGGAGGGTGGAGCCGAACGGAACCCCGCGAGGGGAACCCCCGGCACTTCTCTCCCCGACAACAGCTCCGCCGCCTTCAAGAACATGACTGGCGTGAAGCCCGGCGAGGGAAACAGCGATGGCACTCTGCGTGGGTGTGTGTCTCGGCTATTGCTTCTTGCCCTGCTGGGGCTGTGGGGCACGACGGCTCTCGGCTGAGCGCAAGAGGGAGAGTGAATTTGTAATCGCTCGTCTAAAACGTGCGTGTTGCGGTCCCAGCGGGTCTTGTTCATTTATATGCTTCCTTTTCCCTTTAAGTTTTGCTTTCGGCTTTTGCTGGGATAGTAGGCACCCCTGCTCTTCTGTTGTTTTTTTTTCACCTTCCCCTTTGGTTGCCTTCTATACACAATTCCACGAGTGACGGGTTTCCACTCCTGCTTGCTGCTGTCACCCACCCACCCACTCGCACGCACACACAGTTGGTGCCGGCCTCGTCGCTGTGCGCGTCGCACGGATTTGACGCCAATGAGGCACGAGGCCGCGGCCACCGTGAGGCGCAAACGCCACATGAAATGTGTGGGAGGGGTGCGTGTGGGCTCCTGCAGCATGGGCGATGTTTTATTTTTCTTTTTTTCTTCGTGCAGGTATTAAAGTATACACACTCACGCACAGTCCCCTTGTGCTTCTGGACACGTGAAGTAAGGCAACCCCTGCCGGAGTAATTTTTTTTGTTTTTGTTTTTTGTTTGTTTGTGTTTCCCCTGAGCCCTGCTGGACTTCCACCTTTTTGTTTGGGGCTAATTTTTTTTTCTTTGGCGTTACTCACCGCGGCTCACGTTTATTTTTCGTGCCGCGTCCGCCGCTGTTGCTGCGTGTCCCCGTGTCCTGTTTTTGCCCCCCCACCGATGCCGCCACGCCCCCACTTCCTTCTCCCTCCTCCTTCCCGCTAGAAGAGGCACCGGCAGCCCGCGACGACGACGGCTTTTTTTTTTGGTTTCCGCTGCGGCGGCGCGGGGGTGACGGGGCGTGTGCCCGCCGCTTTCTGCGCCCGCTGCGGCGAGAGAGAATAGACGGGGTGCGTGTGTGCGGCGTGTGCCTCACTGCGAGTGTGCGGGGGGCGCCGTTTCATCGCGTCCCGCCGTGCGGTGCCGCGCCGATCGGTGAGGGCAGAGCAGCGGCAGGCTGTGCGGCGGGCTTTGGAGCTGCGAGGGGGGGCCGCCGGCACATCCACTTCGTACCTGTGCGTGTGTGAGTGGCGGGAGGGAAAAAAA